AACCACTTTCCTCCCACCCCTCAACATGAATAGAGGGAGTTCACTGGAGGCTTATTTCCTGTGTAGTTCCCACAATGAATCTTGAGCTCCTACTGTCATCCATAGCCTTCTGCAAACTGGATTCTCCCAATTTAGCCATAGCCTTCTGCAAACTGGATTCTCCCAATTTAGCCATAGCCTTCTGCAAACTGGATTCTCCCAGTTTAGCCATAGCCATCTACAAAACGGAATCTCTGATACTAATTCCTCCTTCGACTTCAGATTATAGAATTTACAATCCTTTGGTGATTGAGGATACTGTGTTTCTTCCATGTGGATTTAGTTGACATGATTGAACTATAGAATGAGATGATATATATGTATTAACGTCCGATTAATATGTAATAATTTTTTTAAAATACACATAGATCCAGGAATGGGTCTGGGGCTCGAACTAAATCCTAGCTTCAGCTGAAGAACAATTAGCTCTTACATTATGGCCCTGCTAGATACTGGCCCTCAGGAAGGAAACACAGAAGATACCGTTGCTATAGTAAAATGTAGCAAAGAAATTAGATGGTGCCCAGTTATCACATAAAAAACCCACAGTTTTGAGGCAGGCCAGGAGGGAGGAAGAGAAAGAGACCCAGATGGGACCCCATACTGGCACACCAGGCTTGGAGGATGATGTCCCTGTGGGGAGCTAATGGGACACAGAGGGGACTGGGCAAATGACAACAGCACATTTCATGTTGTCCCCTTACTGGAGCAGACTGCGACAGAAGACATTTCTGGGGTCATATGGTGGAGAAGCAGTGTGGTCTGAACCCCCCAAAACGGGGCGAATCAAGAAGGGAGCATACCTGGATAAACAATCCGGAGGAGAAAACAATGGGACCAACGGTTCCAGGGGGACATGGGAGACGGGGAGGTGGGGGGGAAGAAGTGGTGTTAACAAACTTAGGGACAAGGGAATAACAAGTGATCCAAAATTGATGGCAAGGATGGTGTAAGAGGCCTGGTAGGGCTTGATCAAGGGCAATGTAACCGAGAGGAAATACTGAAACCCAAATGAAGGCTGAGCATGATAGAGGGACAAGAAGAAAGTAAAAGGAAATAGAGGAAAGAACTAGGAGGTAAAGGGCATTTATAGAGGTCTAAATACGGGCATGTACATAATGTAAATATACATATTTATGATGATGGGGGCAAAAAAAACCACAGTTTTTAAATGTATCATTTGATTAGCTTGGGCACATGTATGCCTCCCACATCATTCCCTTGCTTTCTTTTTTGTGGATTGCTTTTCTAGTTGCTTGTAGTCAGAGTAGCTGTCTTTCAGTCCACTGATTCACTTTTCCTTGACTTCCATTCTATTATTCAGGTCTAGTTCCATTATCTTATTGTTTATCTTCTAGCATTCCTTTTGGTTTAGGGTTTTTCATTTTTTGGTTCTTTCCTTTGTTCTCACAAGCATTCCACACATCTCTTAAAGTCATATAAATACCATTTTTCTTCATTCTATTTATGGTAAGTCCAGGCCATCATTCTCAGAGCACTCTATTGAGTTAGGGTGATTTTCAGTTGTTTGTGATCGTTTTTCTTGATTTAGGGGAGTGTAGTCCAGTTGACTACTGTTTTCCCAGCATCATGGTGCAACCATTAGCAGTGAGTGGACTGCTGAGCATGGAAGGGTAGTTTCCTCTGTTAGTGGCGTGTGAGAGGCCAAACAGGAGCCAGAAACACATGGTCATGAACTGGAGAAAAGGGTAGTGAGATGGGTAAGTGGGGATGGTTCAGGGTAAGACGAGAGAATAAACTAAAAGTAAGAATAATAATGGGCCATCTGACTAAACTAAGAGGTTTGTAAAAACTATGGGGAAATGTATTTTAATAGGGGTAGTAAGAATCAATAGGTATCGTGGAAATATATTTCATGAGTAAAAGAAGAGGGAAAGTAGAAAGTGATAGTGGGTGGGGCAGGTGAAATAATCAGACCAGAAGAAGATCATTTATATATATAAAATTTTTTAGAAGATGTAGAATTAATTAAGAAAATAGTGAACAAATAAAAAAAGAGAAGAAAATAAGACAAAAGAAGAAGGAGAAAGTGTAAAGAAACAGAGCAGAGAACAAACAAAAACCAGACTTGAGTGTGGACTTGGAGATCTGTTGCTATGGCGGTGTGAACAAGGGCAGGACTGTGCCCTCAGGGGAGAAGGGAAAAGCCCTGGTTTGAGAGGGTGGGCCTGGATCTGTGGTGTTTGTTTTGTTAGGCATATCTGTGTCCACCTGGGATGTGCAGATACCTGCAGGGGCACGTGGAAAAAGGAAGCAAGTGGGGGGAAATAACAAGAATAATAATACAAAAACAACAACAACAAAACCAACCCCAGAGTTTTGGTGGGAGTTTCTGATCCTTCTGCAGTGTTGGTGTATTATTCACTTGTCTGCCAAGTGGGAGAAAGGGGGCATGTAAAGTGAGGCAGTGAAGAAGGAAGAAAATGGCAAAAAGCATTGTTAGAGGAGTTTCCCATACCAGGTAGTGAGGAGGTCTGCACCATGCTGCCCATGCAGTCTGCTATCCACACAACCTCCCCTGCCCCTCCACACCCTCACCCCCCTTCCACCCCCAAAGCTAAATAGGTGTGGAAAGGTGGGTTGGAGCAGAGGCAGGGAAGGATCCATATGTTTAGAGAATGGAAGGGGTGCACAAAAGCATCAAGGGTGTGGGATGATCAGGAATAATTAGAAGGCTTTGCTGATCTCCAACTTTTAAAAAGTTTGGTATACTTAGCTTTTAAGTTGTTTTTCTGGCTTCCAAACAGCACAAGACTTCCCTTTTGGTGGGATTTCCCTGGTAGTGGTTGAGCTATCTCTGTCCTTGTTACTTGGTCGCCATATTCCCCTGTAATTCCCCCTGCACTTTTTGAGGCCAAACATTGTCTGTCTGAAATACATTTAAATGCGATTTTCAAAATATATGCATGTCAAGAGAAAAAATCGCTGATAGGCACCCCAAAAGTGAGCCCCAAGTCTATTGGTTGAAGAGGTATTGGCAAGGTGGTAGTTTGGGGGTATGGGAGAAATGGGTATTTGGTGGCTGTTATACCTGTGTTTCAAACCTAGATTAAACTGTCCTAATGTATAACCTCAGGTAAATTACTGGCTTTCTGAACATTGGCCTTTTCCCATATCTAAGTTTGAAAATTATACCTCCTAATAAAGTTGTAATGAGATATGAATGATGTATAGATTAAATCATCAATAAATAAATTGCCTCAATAAATGCTCCATTTATTTCATGCTGTCAAATGATCCAAACACCAAAACACATGGCAACCCTATAGGTCAGAGTGGAAAAGGTTCTAAAGCTGTAAATCTTAACAAAAGCAGATGACCACATGGTCCGTCAAGGAACTGTTAGTGGGTTTGAACCACTGATCTTTTGCTTAGCAGCCAAGCACTTAACAACTGTGTCACCAGGCTTCAAAGGAGCTTTAAAGAGCCACACGCCCACAGAATCCAGAGAATTTACCTTTGATGGTGGATTTGGGGTGCTTAGGTGTGGTGGTATAGGTGCAACCATGCCATGGCCCTGATAGCCAAGTAAACACTGTCTCTTGGGTTCACAGAGGAGACAGGAAAACAGACTACAGGAAATGTTCTTCTGCAGTAGAACTAGTCTGAGATCATGCGTGGGCAGAGGTAAGGAGAGGGGCTAGGACCTCAAATTTTGCATTTTAGGAGGGGTTCTTTCATCTGAATTTCCTTCATTTCCACTTCTTTTATTTATTTTAAAATCATTTTCTTGGGGGCTCGTACAACTCTTATCACAATCCATCCATCCATTGTGTCAAGCACATTTTTTGCCATCAACATTCTCAAAGCATTTGCTTTCTACTTGAGCCCTTAGCTCATTTTCCCCCTCCCTCGTGAACCCTTGGTAATTTATCATTTTGTCATGAAATTTTTAAAATTAAGAATATAAACTAGCCAAGCCTAGACGTTCTTTATTTCTCCTACCCTGCCCTGCTCCCCAGCCTTCCACACACCCCTGACTGGTTCTAATGAGCTAGGTGGTATTCCTAGCCTTCTGTAGTAGGCTGTTGTTTCTGATGGTTCCTCTCAGAAATGCTTCATGTTACTGGTGGGGGTGGGGGGAGTCTTTCCTCTACATACACTTGTGCTCATATGATCTGAGCAAGGCATTAGCTCCACATGAGAGGTAATTCCAGAGGAAAATGGCAACGAGCCCTCTATGGAAGTATTTGGTGGAGAAAATTGGCCCTGACGTAACTAAAAAGAGCCGTGTAGTTTCCTTCTTATGATCTGTATGGTCTGTTAATTCAGGGAGGATATTAAAAAGACAATCTCTCTCCCTGTTTCTGTTAATGTTCAGATAATCTGTAGTAAAACTACAAAAAATTAAAAATATGATATTCAATCTAGAATGTTATACATAGCTATATTGGCTCAAACTTTAAAAGAATGGTAAGGCGTGGTGCTTAATTCTCTTGTCTGGCACTCAAGAAACCCATGATCAATAAGTGAACGATTTCATATTTCCATTATCAATGCAAGTGTGCTTGAGGATCGCATGTGGATATCCACAAAAGAGTCTGTAACCACTTGGTTTTAATATTGGTTTAATTTTCATAAGTTGAGGTGGGTGATACACATATTTCACAGGATGATCAATATGAACAAGCCTAAGATGTACATTAAATGTTTCTTAAATATTTATGATACTTTATACACACATTTGCTTTAGTACTTGACTAATGAGTCCTAAATTGTTCTGTGAAACAACATAGCCCAGAATCTAACAGAAAAAAAATTTGTTGAAACAAAGAAAGCATGAGTAAGAAGCAGGAAAATGGAGTCACCTTCTACTTCTTAGGATGAGAGAATTCCCAGAAATGTTAGGAACTGCCGGAAATGTCTGGATGTTAATACAACTAGGCACGTCAATTCTCGTGGGCTGAACGCCAGACCGTTCCCACTTTATTTTATGACAGCCACACTCAAGAACAAGACCAGCCCCTTCACACGAGCAGCTGTGTATCAGACCGACATGGCCAAGATCATTCCCAACGCGGTTTCCTCTCACGCTGCAGCACGCCTTCCTTGTTCAGGAGCGCCTCGGGGAGCACAGAGGTTGGCTGTCTGACTGTGAGCCCAGCCATCACCTGCTTATCCAGTCAGAGTCAGAGGTATAATCTTCGGAAGGCGAGCCCCTGGCTGAGTTGCCCTAGTATCTCTTTCCCTTTCCCTCCTCCCCGCACCCTCCTACCTGGCCCAAAGAGGGCACTTCATAACTAGCTGTTGAACTGAACCAGAACTAATTACAGCTAATCCCAGTCATGATGAATCCAAAGGTTTCACACGAAGTGGAGTAGTTCCTTCAGGAAATGGGACGAGTCAGAAAGGCAACGTGACTTGTCAGGTCTTCCCTCCGGAGCCCTTTAGAATCTGTGAACTATTCCCGGTTCAGGCTGCAGTGATCTGCTCGGAGGGACAGGTGTGCGTAGCAATGGGTAGACTCCAGGTGCTATCTCCTCCCAGGCTGCCTTGAGGAGCAGGGAGAACCGGGAAACACAATCTGCGGGCTAAAAGGACACGCTATACAAACCTTGTAGCAATATGACCTCCTCCAACCTTTTGTAGTTACATAGTTACATGTATATATGAACATATATATATATATGAACATGGAACTAAGCCACTCAACAGCCGAATTCTTGGGATATTTGAAATGATTCTCATCTTTCAACAAAGGCTCTGTGCATCCTCAGAGCAAAAAGAAAACCTCTCCCTCAGCCTTGTCATTGCTCAGCCTTCGGAGACTGAGCTCTTTGAGGTGAGGCCCTGCCAAGCAGGCGGTGTGAGCAAGTCCCCACGGTGCCCCTTTGGGCACAACAGGAAAAGTCTCCCTGCGCCTCTCTGTGCGTTCCTTTCAGAATGACAAGCACACTGCGTGTTGTGCATACATGGGTCTCTCGACTCCAGCTCTAAATAAAGGGCAAGCTGTCTTGTTCAAGTAATAACAGCAGAGGAGAGAACGGAAACAAGTCCACTGAGAGGAAAAGAGAAGCCTGTTCTTCCCCCCAGATGACAGAATTCTTTGTGTTCAGAAAGCAAACCGGAGATCACCTTCAGCTTTTCCAGGGGCCTAGCAGGGAGGCTGGATAGGCAGGCAGAGAGAGACAATAGATGATAGATGATAGATAGATAGATAGATAGATAGATAGATAGATAGATAGATAGATAGATAGATAGA